CGCCAAGACCTGCATACACACACACACACACACACACACACATATATATAAACAGCAGGGGGAAAATACAGCAAACTGAACTCTATATCATACTTGATAATAAACAGTCTGCTCAAGAAGAGAAGCTATTCCAACCAAAACAAAGCTCTAACAACCGGTGAATTTTTAATAATAATGACTTTTATGAGTCAGGAAAACAATAGGCAATAAGATGTAGATTGAAGTTTCAGGTGGTGCGAGAGACTTCTGCTTTAAACTTAAGAGAGTCATTTTCAGTCACACAGTTCTAGACTATATGAATAGGGGTGACCTGATAGCAGTGTTCCAATATCTCAGGGATTGCCATAAAGAAGAGGGAGTCAAGCTATTCTCCAAAGCACCTGAAGGCAGAAGAAGCAGCAATGGATGGAAACTAACCAAGGAGAGAACCAACCTAGAACTAATGAAAAATTTCCTGACAGTTAGAGCAATTAATCAATGGAACAAGTTGCCTTCAGAAGTTGTGGATGCTCCAAGGCTGGAAGTTTTTAAGAAGAGATTGGACAACCATTTGTCTGAAATGGTATAGGGTTTCCTGCCTGAGCAGGGGGTTGGACTAGAAGACCTCCATATGGTTATAGAATATAAAAATCTCTGGGGTTCTCATCAGAACTTGACCAAAAGGTAATATTTACTTCACTAGGGTTCACTCCCTCCCAATAACTCATGAAAGAAATAATAGGGAAAACAGTGGATGGATAGCAAAGTAAATTTTTCGAGTGTCTATCTCCTGAAGCAAATTTCTCTGACCTGGAATCTTCTTGATTTGTGAAACTGCAGCTTCCAACAGTATTCAAATAGTAGGGCTGCAGGCTGAAGAGGGCTATTTTAAAGCTTCACAGATATTGAAGTTCTACTTTTGAGATCTTAGGAAATTTATTTCCAACTTACTCCAATCAACTGAAAATGTGTGCTCTATCAATGAAAATGGGGGCCCTAAAGAGGAGCCTACGGAATAAGGCTGGGGGGGAAAAAGTACAAAAGAATAAATCAATATTGCCCAGGTGCTAGCATAATCTTCCCCATTCTAATCTTGCCTCGGATTTCAAGTCTCATAAACCTCATCATTCATCATGATGGCTGGAGTTGATGGGGAGCTGATGTCTAACAAACCTGGAAGGCACAGTCTAGAGCAGGGCTTTTCAACCAGTGGTACGGGTACCCCCTGTGGTACATTGGCACCTGGCAGGTGGTATGCGACCATCCTGGAAAAGTGGTAGCAGGGGAGGGGAATGAGAGTGCCGCCAGGTGGGCAGGCAGGTGTCTTGCTCGGCTGTGCCTTGGGGGGGGGCGCTTTTTTCAGTGCCATTGTAACTTCAAACAGTCACTAAGCGAACTGTTGTAAGTCGAGGACTACGTGTACTTCATCACTTTTTTCCTTCTTCTTTTTTGTCATCAAGTTTTTGACACCTTGCTAGGCGACTGGTGGTACTCGGACGTTGCCATATCCTAAAAGTGGTACAATGGGTGAAAAGGTTGAAAAGCCCTGGTCTAGAGAAGGCTGTGGTAAGCAAAGATAAGCAGAGTTTCTTCTGCTGCATTATTGAGAAGGTCTATGTATTGTGGCTGCATGTTTTCTTCCCTTCTTGCTTGAAAACCAGCACTTTAAGTAATATCCATGGGCAGTTGAATCATAAATTACTAGCATATTCCATTAGCCTCATCTTCTCGGGTATTATAAGTTAGGTGACACAAAAGTATTGTTGCCAGTAAAATATATTGGTAATTTGTTACATTTATTGCTTTAAAACCACTGTCCATGAAATTAGTAATTCAGCTGATACTTCACTCTGAATGTAGTTGGATTAAAATAATGGTGACATGAGCACTATAGATATGTAATTTAGACTTGGAAAACAAGTTGTTTGCCCAGAAAGCCTTGGATTTGAGATGAGAGGTCATGAGCTAAACAAGAGAGAATTATGCTCCTTTCTCACCGAACATAAAAGTTTTTGCTACTAAGAGGCAGGTTCATTCTGAAGCCATGTAAACCAGATGAGTCAGGCTGGTAGGCTAGTCTGGAATTCTACATTGGAGACTCCCTACCCCTAACTGGAATCCTGCATCAGGGCTGTTAGAGCAGCTGAGAGTTACAACCCTTTTACTCTTCTTGTTCATTTGTATTTTTATTGTGTTGTACTCAGGCCCTTTAGCTTGCCCTCGCTGTGAAACAATAAACTGATTTTGGACTGTGAGACAACATTGGAATGGTATGTCTTAAGCTGCTTGTGAGATTTAAAGAGATAATGTATTCATCTCAAGAGAACAATTCAGGATCCATTATGCTAACTTTAATTTCACACCCAAGGCAGTTTGGGCCTGAGATATGATACATATATGAATCTTGTCTTGCCTTTTCTGATTACCCCAACATCCAGGTTAGGGCTGGATGGATTCTGACCCTTAATAAAATTAAATAAAGGAGTTTTATAAATGGGATATCTGAATGCAAATAAATGCAGTTTAATAAAATCTCAAATTTTACATGTTCTTGTTTTCTAAACAGGATGCAAGAGAGAGAACATAAAAAGGCAGCCGTTTTCTGGGCCTTCAGTAATCTTTTAAGTCCTCATTTCATGCTGCTTTTGTGCTCGTCACAATGCTGTCATTTATTCTGACATCCCAAGAATCAGGAGGAGGGATCAAACCTCTCTTAAGCTCAGGACTGTGTCCAGTCAGAAGCCTCTGCTGAGAGAGAACTGCAGAAGATGCTGTACTTAATGCATAGCTGGTTATCAGAGAGAAAAGCAGCGCACAATGACACTCTAGGGTCATTCTCACTTTTAAGATGCCCTTCCACAAATAGCATCTCAATATGTTGTTATATGAACTTTATTGCCTGAACCAGAGTGGCGTCTTTCCGCTTTCACCGATCCCCAAGCAGCAAGGGATGTAAATCATTACGTGGACTCCAAAGACTCCATGTTCATATGCAAGCAGAATGCATATGAGACTAGCCATGGTGAAATGATGGTGGTTGGATTACCTTGGCTCCTCCTCTTGCAGAGCAGCTGCTTTATTTGCATTAGTCTCAAGCCAAATCCTAAAATGGTTAGAAATAGGAGTGCAGCAATTGTCTACCATGTTAGGCATATGCTAGTCAGGGATCCTCCCTACTGAGCAGCAAAATGGGTTTCCTTTAGATGACATGCAAAAAATGTTCCTCTGCAGGCAAGATATAGGGACAAGATTCCCAAGGGTTCAAAACAGGCGTATTGGGTGTGCTTGGTTTTAACTTGAGCATGCAAAAATAAATCACAACGCTGTACATTTGACTGGATTTGGGTGCCAAATTCGAAATGCATCATCATCATCATCATCATCACAATCATTCAGTCGTGAATAGACTCTCTTGGGATGTTCTCCCTGCCCAAGTCCCATTGCAATGACTAAGACCTGAATTAAATGTTCTATTCAGTTCATCTTGCCAGCTTGCATGGCACAACATCTAGCAAGGTTATATCCTATATATGACAAACTGCCGCCCTTATGGCATATCTGCAATTGCCACCTTGCCTTTTGGTTTGGCTCAGCTGTCTCTAGCTTTGCCTCCTTTGTGTGTCAGGCAGGTGGAATCGAAAACAGAAAGATCCCAAGGTCAGGAAGAAGAAAAAAAAAAAGGACCTTTTTTCCCCCTTCCATTTGGATTTTCATAAAACTGGCAGGTAAAGGAAGCCGTGCTGGGCTGCTCCATTGCCTTTGTGCTTGGTAGCAAAGACCATAACCCTGGGCTTCCTGTCTGGCAAAGCAGATAGGCTTTGGGTTGCAAAGCAGCTCAGTTGAAAAGCTCTGGAGAGGACTGGACTGCATTGGATGGAAAGAAGCGACGAGCTGTGTCATACCTATGGACAGAGCCAGGATATCCTTTTTCGGTTATTGTTGCTTTCGCTCAGGTTTGTTTCTCTCCTCCTCCCCCCACCCCTTCCCCCCCCCTTTACTCTTTCAAAAACAACGTGGAGCGTTTCTTACACCTAAATCGGGAGAGAGTTGCAATACAGCGCTACAATCACACGGCGCTCCGGGCGATGTAAGAAAGGGGTTAGAGGCTGCAAGATGGCCCCTGTGCTCCACGCTGCCCACTCCTGCGCCAAACCTTGCAGTCCTTTTCCCGCCGAGGATGACCGATCTATAGCCTCGAAAGCGGGGGGGGGAGTACCGTACCCAGCGATACAATCGTTCACATCACTACTTGTCTAGACCAGTGAACGGGACAAGTTTTTGCCGCTTCGGGCAACTACAGCCAAAGAGACTTCTAGGAATCAGTAACTAATAAACTATTTTCTATCTTACGGGGGGGGTGGGAGAAGGGGGGGGGAGAAGACGCGCGATCAAACCCTCCAAACTCCTGCACGGTTCTCTCCAAGCCTTCTTTTTTTGCCCCCCCCCCCCGGCCGCCTTTCTGCACAAACGTTCTCGGGCTCCCCCTATCGGCCGCCGCACTCATTTCACGAAGAGGAGGAAGGCAGAGGAGGCGAGAAAAGCGGGCTCCCCCTCTGGCGAGAGAGAAAAACGACCGAGCGCAAGAGCGAGCGAGCCAGCGAGCAGGCGGGCAGGCTGGCAGGCGAGCGAGTGGAGTTGCCTGCGAGGAGGTCGGCGGGCGTTTTCCTCCACCTTCGCTCCGTTTCCTCTACGCGCAGCAGAAGCAGCAGCAGCAGCAGCAGCAACAGCAGGTTGCAGCCAGGCACCAACGCCTCGCCTCGTCCGCGTGGTGCACCGGGAGACCCCGGCGTGGAGGCAGCAGTCGCCCTGCCGCGGTGCCCTTCTTTTTTTTTTTTCCGGCCGTCCGCTTGCAACTCCTTGCCGCCGCCGTGGCCAGCCCAAGCGACGTCCCTCTTCCCGGTCACTTCACGCCGCGCCTCTCTCGCAGCTTTTCTTTCTCGGTCTGCGTCGAGTCGCCCAGCCCGGGTCGGCTGCCCCTTCCCAGAAGTCTGGGAGCTCCGGCTCCCCCGCTGCTCTTCCCCATGGGGATCCGCGAGTTTCCCAGCGGCACGGCCAGGGGCAAGAGCATGGCGATGTGAGTGCCGGCGACGGCGGGAGAAGGACGGGCGGTGGGGGTGGGGGAGAGAGAAGGGGTGGCGGCGCGGAGGAGCGGGAAAGGTCCCCGCTCCGCTTCGGGGCGCTCAGCTCCCTTCTCCGCTGCCTCCGCCGGGGAGCCGCGGCGGGGTCGGGGCGCCGCAGCCCCGGCCGGAGCGCGAGGCGGGGCCGGCGGGAGCAAAGTTGCGCTTCTTCTCCCGGTCCTCGCTTTCTGGGTGCCGAGAACAACGGGGAGGAGGGAGGGAGGGACGGGGGAAGGGATGGTGTGCCGGGAGGGCTTGCAAGTTCGCCTGGAGCTTTCCCGGTTAGCGCGGCGGAGGGGAGGTGGAGCGCGCCCGGCTCGACCTTCCTCTCCCGCGCCGCGACTCCGGGGATGCGCTGAGGTATCCCGGGGCTCTTCTAGCGGACTCGCCGCTGAAGGACGTGGTGTGTCCGGGGGGGGGGAGGCGGCTGCCGGGTCTGTTAAAACATCTGCTGAGACGGGAGGGTCGGATCACAGCTTCTGGGGAGGGTGGTGTTGTTGTCCAGCCTGCCTGCAGGGCACCCGATGGGGAAAGCTGTGCTAAGAGGGCATCGCTTTGGGGTGTTAAGTGCCTTCCTCAGTTTCCCCAATCCAGCTGCCTATCTTTGGCGGACCCTTTTTATTATTGTTGTTGTTGTTTTGTTTTCTCCTGATATGAATATTCCCAAGAAAGCTTGCACTGATCGCCTCCTGGTTCGCTTTGGCTGTTCCCCTTCCTTTCTTCAACCCGGCTGCTTCTTCTTCTTCTTCCTTTCTAGTGGCATGAGGAGGTCGCCTGATGTCAGCCCCAGGAGGCTGTCAGACATCAGCCCTCAACTCCGACAGCTCAAATATCTGGTGGTGGATGAGGCAATCAAAGAGGATTTGAAATGGAGGTCCGTGGAAGACCTCACCAGCGCTTCCGTAGGACTCACGTCCATCGAGGAAAGGATCCTGCGGATTACGGGCTACTACGGCTATCAGCCTTGGGCTACCAGCTATAAAAGTAAGTGCCTTGTTTCTGCCTTTCTCCTTCACAGCAGCATCCACCGTTCCCTCAGCCTCTCTCTTCAACTTTCAGTCAGCTCTCTCTCTCCTGACAAGTGGAGAGAAAGGCTTAAGTTGATAGTTGGAATTAACCCTGTGAAACCTTACCTAGGACACAACCGCTGGCAATTTTACTCTCCTTGAGCTGATTTGCTGCTCACCTTTTCCTCACAAATTCCTTTCTGCCTGGCTGGCTCCTCTGTGTGTGCCATACTTTTGTAGGCATGTTTCCACCCAGGGAGCTGATGGGAGAAACCTTTTTTTCTCTTTCAATGGGCATGCACCATTGTGAGAATATTAGGAGTACAGAAATGGCCAGCTAAACTTTCTGATGGTTAAAGAAATACAACAACTATTGTATATAAAATATTCAAACTGAAGAAGAGATTTCAGCTTAAGTTAAGAGGGAGAGAGAAGGAGAGGGAGGGAGGGAAGGAGGGGTAAATATTACATGAAATGGTGACTGATGTTTGCATCATTAATTCAAGGAACTGATATTTGATCATTCAGGGAAATGTTTTTACAGCTGGTTAATTTAATTAACTGTTTTCCTGTTCGGATGCAACATATGTATTAACCTACAGAAAGTAAGCTCTTAGTAACTTTATGCTAATTATATTAATTTGAGATCAACATAGAACTTTTGTCTGTTTTAGTACCCAAATTGAAATAATATAACTGAATTTTTAAAATGCATTGTGAATTCAAGTTAATTAAGCACAAATTTGTGAGAATGAATTAGATACTTTGTATTTTAAATATAATACTATGCTTAAAAAATCATTTTGCTTCATATTTCCAAAGTTTCATAGAAACATTTCTCTGTTATCACAGAGTGCTGATGTTGCATGCAGTGTGTGCATGTTTGTGTGTCTACTCTAGCATATATACTCTAAATGTATTTTACCAGTTCTGAGACTTGACTAAGAAAGATACCCAAATCCAACTTTGTGGGTGTATACCTCTGTGTTACAGATGGTACACAATATCAACAATTATTGCCTATGTTTTTATTTTCATTTCCACACCTGTGGGTTCAAGGAGAAAATTCCCCAGAAGACTAGTCTACCAATTTTGCATCCCATAATTTCCAATTTTTTAATGCAATGTCCTATTCTGTCAAATGAAGAAATATTCATGTTGGGAATTTTATTCAATTTAAATATTTGAAATATTCAGATCTTTGGAAAATGACTTGTGGATTTTAAGAAATTTCCAGTATAATATCTATATTGGTTGAGGTTATCTAAAATCTTTGCTATTATTAATATCATGTAGACACTGAGCTATATGCCACAGAAACCACAACCCATGTTCTTCTGTATTGTCAAATCTACAGGGACATTCATCACCAGCTGATTATCTCTCTTTTATTTAAATTTCTGAGGCAATCTGATAGCTTTTATCTGCATTATCTATTAAATAATCAAAATAAATTTATTTCTCTAAAAGTAGCATTTTTTTCTACATTATGTGTAAGCTTTGCCCACAAATGATTGCTAATAGTTCTTGTTATTAGGGAACAGTTGTGTGTTGTTCATTTTATTGATTGCATTTTTATTGGTCAGTGAGCAAAACACAGTTCTGTCTGTTAAGCTCTATGTTCCTATCTTAATTCAACAGCAGATGTTCTCTCCTAAACAAGTATCTGTCTGGTGTAATAATCTACAAAAGATGTGCAAGTTATAAGTTATGACCGTTGGGATTGTTAGAAGAATGCCCACTGGTAATTTATTAAAAACTGTATCCTACAGAGTCTTTTGAGTCTTGAAATAGCTTAGAGTATTGGGATGTCATCTTAATTATTGCGGTCAACTACTATATCCATTGGAAAAACAGCTATTGTATCAGTTTAAATATTGTTGAGCCCAAGGTGGATGCTGAAAGAAGGAGAATAGATGGCTCATCTGAGTGGAGTGCCAAAGCAGAAAAAAAGCACAGATCAGAAAGGAGAAATTTTAAAAAAAAAGATCTTTCAGGACCATGGACAGGTCCCAGGAAAAATACTAGTTGCTAGTTGCTGACTAAATTCTTAATTCCTTGATTTGACTGGTCCTGTTGGATTGCTGAAGCCTGCATGTCTTTCTCCATTGCTTCATGCCTAATGTACATCATATTGGTAGCGCAGAGAAGGCCTTCAGTAGCAAGAATGTAGGTTCTTTGGTGGACTCTGGCTTAGAGGTTTTAGGGTCTATGGCTGTTACTGCTAACTGATTACTAAACTCAATTTCCTAAAGTCCCACTTTCTATTCTTTTCTTTCAGATGGTTTCTGTTTTCTAACTAATCACTGCTAGTTTTGAAAAGTACTAACAATTGCAACTGCACTGGTTGATCTTAACTTTCAGGTTGAAATAATCCCACTTTGGCAAAGTTTCTGTGATTAAAAAAATAGGATAAATAAAATAATGAAAGGTGCCAGGCTAATTCCAGAATACGCCTGTCAGTTTAGTGAAACTTTGGAAATGGCTAGTTTAGGGATCACATATTTCTGTTATAAATTTCTGCACAAATCTTAACCTTCTTAGAACATAGAACTCTGTCTAGAAGGCTTTTGTGCTTTGAGAAAATATGAAAAAATATTAAATAATCCTATTTGTTTATTTGTTTGTTTGTTTATTACATTTATATCCTATGCATCTCACTAATATTTTAAATAATGTTATAATTATGATGTATTTCCTCTCCCTAAATATTCAGGTTTTATTTTATATTACATATTGCAAGATTTGTTTATTGTGTGCTGTCAATTTTTTTTAAAGAGAAAGTAAATCATAATAAGCAAAATTGTATATTTTAAAGATCTATTTTCTATTGTCGAAAATATTCAGAAATCCAGGAAGTATCCTCATAGTAATAGAATATATATTCCTGATTACATTCAGCAGCAACATTTTTATTCATAAAATATGAATCCATCAATTCCAGGATTCTGATAATGAAATCATACTATATGGACAGTATACAATTCTTTATATACTAAAATATATTTATATCAATATAGTCCTAATAATATTAATAATAAAATTTCCTGGAGTATTCATTTTAGGGTGAATATATCTTTATGATTGTTCATTAATAAATTTTTGGATAATTGTGTTCTCTCTGTTATCTAATAGGAAAGCATTTTTATAATAACACAAAAGAGAGAAGTTGGGTACATGCTGAGCAGATTTTTAGAATTATTCATAAAGCATCTGCAGTTCATTAGAAATGTTACTGAAAGACACCAGAGAGAATATATTTCTTTGGTAATGTGTTGGCACTTTTTGCTTTGTTAGCAAAAATAACTAGATTGCTGCATACATCTGTAGTAATTACTATCTTGCATACTTTTTTCTTTCATCTTTAAAATGAGTGATACCTTGTATTATGAATAGCCCTGTTACTCCCATTGAGATAAATATTTTAATTGACTTCTGCTAAATTGGTCATTATGGGAAGGGCAGCTTCAGAAGCAGAGTGTTAATCTGTTGCTCTGACATAATGACTAATTGTCCTATTGCCTTCATGTTGAGCAACTGTGGCTTGTCTTGATGTAATAAGAAAGGTCATGTCAGTGGCACGTTTACAGCATGATTCCAGATTGCCAGGGTGTTTAATTTGGCCTTGAAAATGAAGGTAACCAAAGCTTAATTGCAATGGGAATTTTTCACAACAATTTTTCAGATTTCTTGCATTTGTGGAATTTGAGGAAGAGTCGTATTGAACATCGCTGTTTTATAAAGAATGAGTCATAACATTGAGACACATCATACATAATTGATAATTAATTTATCAAGTTTCATTTTGTTCTTAGTGCAGTAATTCTTGGTAAAATCCATTTATTTAGACTATTTATTTATTGCATTTTTATAAAGGTAACTCCAAGTTAACTCCCTAAATATTAACATACATTATCAACACAAAATAAAATCAGAGTAAATCAGAGTCAAATACAAAAATGTGAAATTAGGCAAAGTTCACTCAGAAAAAAAAGAAAGAAGATCATATTGCTTATTATCTGGCTGAAATAAGAATCAACATTATCAGTGGAGTATTCTCTTTAATACAAAAAGAAAATACAAAAAAATATAGTGGCAGCTGATATTGTGAAATAACTGCTTGCAATCTTTTGCTGCTAAGCATAGTATTAACTGTAGATTAGAATTATATTAATGCATCATGTTCTGGTGCCATTTTTTTAACATTTACCTAAGCTTTAATAAAAAGTAAATACTGAAAGTAGAGACATTTTGACTCAGATTGGAAGACTTATCAAGTATTAGCATTCTGTCTCCACAGTGACCAATTAGATCATTGTAAGTAGGACATGAGAATTTAATTTTTGATCTGATAACATATGAATCTTTTTATAGGTGTAAGCCATCTGCCTCCAGCATTGGTCAGGCTTTGACAAATTTTTAAAATACGTATTATCAGCCAAGAGAAATGATGCTTCCAGAATAAGTCTCTCGGCATTACCAATTAACTAAAAGATAAATGGAAATTCAATAAAGAGTATCACCCAATATGTTAAGGTCTTTTTACTAGGAAGTAGAACTTATCAGTAAGCTTTAGAAGTAAAAATATTTAAAATGTATTAATGGATAGATAATTACAAAAAATAAAGTTTATTTTTATAAACATAGATTTTTCAGCAGTTTTCCAACTTTATGTAATTAAATCCTAATAAAATATTGTTTTGGTAATTATTTACATTTATATTCCATAACTATAATTCCATTTATATTCCATAAAGGAATATAAGGAGATGTGCCTTCACTGTCATAGCTCGTGCCCTCTGGCACCTTCTGCCTTAAGATGACCCCAACCCTTTTGGCATTTCCTAAAGCTGTGAAGACCTGGTTGTGTGCCTGGGCCTGGGGCCCTGAGTCTGCTAAGGGTCTTGTTTCTTGGCTGTATTAACACACGTGGCAATAGTTTTACTTAGCAACTATATCAGGGGTAGGCAACCTTGG